ATTTTTTTGTATTTTTTTATATTTTATATATACACACATATATTTTTTTTTTTACATATTTTGTTGAATAGTTGTTATTATTTAACAATTAAATGCCTAGCTGCTATTGATTAATGTACGTAATTACTATACTTAAACTATATACTATATATAACGATTTGTAATAAAAGCCGAAAGCAAACAGACAAAAAAAAAAAAAAAGCAAAAACTCTTTGATAAGCTGTGAAAATATTTAGCTGCTTGCGTCAGCTCTTCAAATTGTTATTAGACAAGCCCAAAAGACAAAAGATTGTCATATACCTTTTTTTAGCCGAGCTGATTTTGTTTTGGTTTTTATCTACTCGATTGGGCACTTAAATTAATTGCGATGTGCGCGGACGATTTGAATTTGGCGCCAACAGAAAATGTAAAGACTATTGCATACTTTTAGGCGACAATTGAAATTACATTTAACAGTGCAAAGATAACAGTCAGCTGTTGTTCGCTCTCGTTCAGAATGTGACGTCACACTAACATAGACATGCGCCGCCAGCTGAATTAGCTCGCTTAAGATTAACTACAATTGCAATCATAATAATTTATATATTTATTTATGCACATATGCTTGACATACTTGCATTTGATTCATATATGTATATACAACTCATGTGACGTCACGCTCTGGGCGTACGTCGCGTGCTATCTCTTGCAAAGCTGTTCGCAAAGTAACGGTAGTTGGCCAAAACAAAACTCAATTTCTGTTGAGAACGGCCAGCAGTGAGTGTGAACGAGACAACCATACTTACTGTCTGCCTGTCGCCCTAGGTGTAAGCGAGATGTTTGCCGCATATTGAAGTTGCTCGACTTTGAAGTTATTTTCTCAACGTCCGTGAGAATCATTTTTTTTTTTTTTTTTTTCAAATTCAAATCCTAGTTTTAACGAAGTTGCCTACGATTCCAGTGTCAAATATTTTCATTGTTCATTGCCAACAAATTAAGGAGACTGAAACACACGTGGAAATTAAAAAAAAAAAAGTCAATAAAAAATTTAAAAATTACAACAAAAAGTTTCTAATGGATATTTTTATCAAAATGCCTGATGTGCCCTCGCGTGATGAAGTGCAGAATCTAAGCCTGGGTGAGCTTGCTTGTGTCACATATTTCCATTCGTAATAGCGCCTTCCTGACTTATGCCCGTGTGTTTATAGATGAGTACTTTCGTATGTATGTGCAAAATAAGCCGGTCATGAGAAAGCGGAGTACTTATCCGTATCCGGGTCCGTGTCCCGGTCCGTATGGCCCGGGTTCGTATTCGGGTCGGTATCCGAGTCAGGCGCAACAGCGCCGTCGCTACGAGCGCTCGCACTACTTCGCGCCGGAATATCAGCGCCAGCAGCAGGAGCAGCAGCAAAAACTGCTAAAGCAGCAGAAAAATCCACAGCAGCAGCACCAACAGCCTCAGCCGGCTGACCAGACTAAGAAGCCGCGGGAGAGCATGTTTATGGACCTAGACGTCCTCAACAATCTGCGCCAGGAGATGGAGCTGCTACGAAAGCAATGCGTCAGCGAGTATCGTCAGTTGGAGCACCGTTTGGGCGTGCAGCGCGCGGAAGGTATCCAGGAGATGCGGCGGCTCCTGGAGCGCCATCATTATGCGCGCCACACGTTGCAGATGCGCATCCACGATGCGGAGCGCATTTATCGACAGCGCGACATCTATGATCAGAGCATGATGCAGCTGCGCGATCAGCAGCAAAAACTGCAGCAGGAGCAGCAGAAGAAGGCAGCTGAGAGTTTGGAAATCAACAACAACGACGTCCCCGGCACGCCGGAGCACGAACTGCTGAAGCCACCGCGACTTAAGTCGCCAGAGCTGCCGCATTGGTATATATCGACCACTCATGCCAAGGAAGACCCGAAGGGAGCCAAGGATAGTAAATTCAAGCTCGACGATGTTGACTTTGGCGGCACTGGCATCTCCACCAAGGAGGTCATAGCCGAGATCCAGGAGGAAATGGAGGACGACATCAACAGCGATATGCTCTATATACCCACCAACTTTTCACTGCACGAATAATCGTATACACTAACTGTATCAACACTATCACGTGGCAAAAAAAAAATTTTTTTTTGAAAAAAAAAAAACAAGTCGAAGAATGAACATATTATATTACTATAAATATTGAGCACTCTACACTCAATATAAATGCCTAAGATCTGAAGGAATATACGAATATTTGTATACACTATAAAAGGAAAAGGCAAGACATGAGTAAATATTGAAGAGCACATAAAATATGAATGATAATACA